CTAAAAGGGAAAATTCCTGAAAATTTTCCCAATTTAATTATATTGGCTGAAAAAATATCTAAATTTTTTTGATTACCCGATTAATACCCAGACCATTTAACGTTGGTTTTTCAGTACACAAACTTTTTAAATATTTTAGTTTTACTACATCACCATTAACAGAGTTAACCCGACTGACGGAAGTTTATAAATGCTGTTAAATTTTAATTGACTCGTGTTATCTACGGTAACTATATTAATAGATTATTAAAAACAAAAGATAAAAAAAAATGTTCTTCTTCCTCATCCGCTCTTCAGATCTTCTTCTTCAGATCAAATGCGTCTTCCATTTCTTTCTGAGAGAAACCGAATTTTATATCAATCTTGCCACTTTTCAGCAACACAAGACATAAAGGCCATGTGTTCTACCACATCTACCTCCCTGTCTCAACCCAAAACACAAAAACAACACATTTTTTTAGGATCATATGATTGTTTGAATAGTCTCTTACTTTGTCTATGTACCACAATTTGCCATTAATTTTGACTTCTCTCTCAATTTGGTTGGAGGCTGAATATTTTCTTCAAATATCGTATTGGTTGCCACAAATACGATAGGGAGTAAAGACACAACAAAAATTGAAAGCCACACATATGAGATTTGTCAATGCATAGAGGCTCAAAGGAGAGGAACTCTTTGATTCCATTCCGATCACCGGAGCTGGCAAAAATCTCGTTTCTCCGGCGACTGCAACTACCGCCTTGAATCCTTTCTCCGATTCCTCAACCCTAGATCTGCAAAGGAGAGGAACTCTTTTTTTTTTGTTTTTATTAATCTATTAATATAGTTACTGTAGATAACATGTATTAATTAAATTTTAACAGAGTTTACAAACTTCCGTCAGTCGGGTTAACTCTGTTAATGGTGATATAATAAAACCAAAACATTTAAAAAGTTTATATACTGAAAACCAACGTTAAATAGTCTGGGTATTAATCGGGTAACCAAAAAAGTTTGAGTATTTTTTCAATATAATTAAATTGGAAAAATTTTTAGGAATTTTCTTTTTTCTAAAACATCATATATAATGAAATAGAAAGAGTATATACATATATTCTCTTCCCAATGTATCTCATAA